TGAAGAAGCTATTAATACAAGTGGTCTGATTATGTGCTGTATTACGGTGTTCTTCGTGTTTGTCTCAATCCGAAATTAGTCCGCCCATCAAATCAGTCGTCCAAACTCAAAACTGCAATCACAATTATCATGTCTTCATGGTTTGCATTGTGGGTATGAATGCGGCAAAGCGGCAGCGATACAGCGGTTAGTGCATTTTTAGTACATTGCGCGTTTGCCGTTGTACCGCTATGCCGCTGTCATTGTATTCAGCCCTTTACTGGTCAAAATAAACCTGTGACTTTAACGTCAATGCCTACAGATTTCATCATCGTTTGATGTCGGCCAATTTTCAATGAGAGGCTACATTTAGATTTAAGTGTTTAATTGAGTCTACCAAGTCAGATGGACTAATATTAATAATAATAATAGGCCTTAGACTCCTGAACAACATTGCAGAAAACTGCAACTATGAATTTAAAAAGATCTCGAGATCTCGACCCAATATTTACACGACATTTATAAGCTCACTAGTACCACTTAGCGAGAGGATTCCGACTTAAACTGTTAACGATTAAAAAGGCCTTGACCTTGGTCGGCATTTACTCAAAATATATAAGAACACTAGTGCTACCTAGCGATAGGTTCTGAACTAAACTGTCAACAATCCAAAAGTCCTTGATATTCTGGTCAACATTGTAGAAAACTTCAACTTTGCAACTAGCAGGGATCTCGAGATGTCAACCCGCGTGTAAACGGAATTTATACGAACACTAGAGTCACCTAGCGAGAGAATTCGGAACTAAACTGTCATCAGTTTAAAAGGTCTTGGCCTCCTGAACAACAATGCAGAATTCAGAAACTTTGTATCAAGCAAACATCTCGAGACGTCGACCCTCCATTCCCACGAAATTCATAAGAGCACTAGTTCCACCTAGTGAGAGGATTCCGAACTAAACTTTCCTCAATTCGAAAGGTCTTAGCCTCATGAACAACATTGCAAAAAGCGGCAACTTTGTATCTAGCAAGGATCTCGAGATGTCGACTCTGCATGTACATGAAGTTTATAAGAACACTAGGGCAATATAGCGAGAGAATTCCGAGCTAAACTGTCATCAATTGAAAAGACCTTGGCCTCTTGTACATCATAGCAGAAAACAAAATCTTTGTATATAGCAAATATCTCGAGATGTCGACCCAGCATTTACACGTAATTCATAAGAGCACTAGTGCCACCTTACAAGAGGATTCCAAACCAATCTGTCAACACTAGGGCCAAACAACGAGAGAATTCCGAACTAAACTGTCCACGATTAAAACAGTCTGGTCCTCCTGAACAACAGTGCAGAAAACATTAGCTTTATTTATAGACTGGATCATGATATATTGTATGTACACAAATTTCACATGAATACTAGATCCACCTAGTGAGAAAATTCTGAACTAAAACATACATTGAAGTATTGGCCTTTGTAATCGAAACAACATTTAAGAAAACAAAACTGTATTAGTTGTACTAGTCTACGTTGGTTGACGAAATAAATAAATAAATAAATAAATAAATAAATAAATAAATAAATAAATAAATAAATAAATAAATAAATAAATAAATAAATAAATAAATAAATAAAGTTGATGTAAATTTAGGTGCTCTGAGACTGACATATACGAGCGTCAACTTTGACATAAAATTGAGTCGTAATAGTGAGATAAACGCCAAATTCAGCTCAATCAAACATAAAGAATGCAACGCGCAAAAATTGGTCAACAAAAAAATCGTTTCTTTCAGTCAAAATTCATATCACAAAAATCTTCTTATTTTTCATTTGTTAGTTCAATTCATATATTCAAAGGAAAAAATGTTCGTTTATTCTTTTGGTTAGCCAAATCCGAACTGCCGTGCCTTCCGCTTAAGGGGTTACGCCTACCTGCAAGACCGAAAAAAAGCGAAAGTTTGGATTTTTTTTTCTCTCGAAAACGACGCAACATATTGAAAATCGGTTTTCTGCCGTTTATTGAACACACATTAAATGGTACATTTATCAGTCGATGCTGTAAAAACGAGGTCCTGGTGCCCCGTACGGCTGCTCCCCGTGGACGATGTTCTAGAAAACGTTTTTTGCGGTGCCAACTGCGGTTTGTGATGTAATCATCTGAAATAAAAAAAAAACATGCCAAATCGTTAAGCATGTGTTAAACTAGTCCTTGATCGTTCGGTTTTTTTAAATTTTTTTGACAAAATGGCGGCCTTTCAAAGTTGAAGTGCCGATTTTTGATCCTTAAAATTTGTCTTTGATCGGCTGTAAAAAATCGAAATTAAATGATAGACGAAATCCGAACGATCGTGGACTGCACAAAATAGTACTGAACAGAAATCAAAACGAATCGGACGAATCAAATGTATACATTTCGAGAAATTTTTGGCACCGGTTTTGAAAATATGATTCCGAGATAATCGCGTTTAAAGTTTCAAGTTGGGTTTAGTCCACTATAAGTGAATATTTTTGTACGTTGCATAACTTTCACAATTTTCATTGGATCAAATTGATCTTTTGAGGAAATATTCTTGACTTTATATACTTTCGATTAGGACAATAAAAAAAAAATCGATTTTTTGAAAGTTTGCAGGTAGGCGTAACCCCTTAACCCCTTCCATTAAATTTTGCACAGTGGTCTCATCGACCTTATTCGCCGCCGAACGTCAATGCTGTTCGATAGGGCGGAGTTCTGGGCTGTTGGGAGGGTTGTGGTCTTTTAGTACCACATCCACGTTTTTCGCATCGTACCAGTCGATTGCCTTTTTCACATAGTGGCAGCTTGCCAAGTCCGGCCAGAACAGCACAGGTCTATTATGTTGCTTTAGGAATGGTAGCAGCCGCTTTTCCAGGCACTCCTGGACGTAGATCTCTTGATTGATGTTTCCCGTAGTTATGAAAATGCCGCTTTTTTATGGCCTGCCAGACGAGATATTTTTTCGGGAACTTCGATAGTTTGATGGTTCCGAAAATTTCAGCCACCTTCCCTTTTCCTGATGCGGAATAAAACTCCTGTCCCGGAAGCTGCTTGAAATCCGCCTTCACATAAATTTCGTCGTCCATGACGACACAGTTGAACTTTGTGAGCAGATTCGTTTACAGCTTCCGGGACCGCTGCTTTGTCGACGTGTTTTGTTTGTAATCTCGGTTCGCCACCTTCACCTTCTTAAACGCTCGTTTCTTGGCCCACTGCACAGTAGTATGGGAGACATTGAGCTTGCCAGTGACGTCCCGGATGGAGAGGTTAGGATTCCGCTTATATTTTACCGAAACCTTCTTCGTCGTCGCTGCCACGTCCGGATTACGAATGCCGCCGCTTCCAGGCTTCCTGGTGGTCGACAGACGCTCCCCGAACACTTTTTAAAAGTTTTTCACGGTCGATTTGGCCACATCCAACAATTTTGCCAACTTGGCTTGTGAGAACGTCGGATTCTCTTGCTGCGCGAGAAAAATTTTGACACGCTGCTCCTCTTGCTTGGACGTCATTTTGAAAACTAGAGAGCAAACGGTGAAAACTCATCATAGCAATCATCATCAACTTCCAAATACAGCATTTCAGGTTTTTTTTTATGCATTTTTAACAGAAATACACCAATTTGAAGTTAACCAATTTTTGCGCGTTCCAGACTTTACTTTTGAACTTTCAGTCTCGGAGCACTTAATTTCACCTTTCAATATTGATTTGTGTATATTCAATGAATGAATTTAAAAAAACGATGTCCCATTGCATAAGATAGCTGGAAATGACAGTTTGTCATAAATTACTTAACGTAAGATTTCAATACAGTCTTGTGTATTCTTGCTCGACTGTAAGAAAAGCATCATCAAACTGTTTGGTTCAAAAGATGGTTCGTGACAGCTTGATTTTGGCTTCTTTTGACGTTCATATTTTTCGAGTCTGCTTCTCCTTTCCAGCTTCTATCTAATACATATCATGAGAATTTATTCTATAAAAGTTGATAAAATAAAGTACATACACTAGCACCACCTGGTGAATCAATTCAGAGAGATTTGTCCCAAGAGCAATTTGGGTGAAGACATGTATAACTTTGGAGCTCAAGTTTCTCGATAGTAATCAATAATGTAACTGATCTATAATTAGACCACTGGGCATTAATGGGTTAATAATCCACTTTTTTCAGTATTCATTCAGGAATATTTTTATGCAAGATCAGACTGATTTTGTATATTTATTTTATTTTTCAGAAGCATAACAACACATTGTATCAAAACTATAATCACATCACTAATCAAAGGGAATCCTGATCATACAAACCTAACCTTCTAACAAAATATCACGGGAAAAATATTTGTGGTCTCTGATCACGCATTCCCTTCCCATTCCCACCTGATTGGAAGGACGTGGCCAGCGCCGTTATTGATCCTTAATATTTGGAATCACTAAAAGTTGTACAGAGAGAATGATCGACCATTTCCAGTCAGTCAGTGATTCAGTTGATTTATTGTGCATTGTTACTGGTTTGGATCAATCACAGAGTAGGAACCATTGATATGTGTAGTCAGTCTAAGCTAAGCTAAGTATAGCTAAGCAAGTCAAGTCAAATAGTTTGAACTAGTACTGGACCAATAATTAACCTCTTTCATTTGAGACTTGTTTCAAAATATTCTATCAGGAGTAATTTTTTCATTAATTATTTGAGTTTGAGATTGGCTTAAAAACTAATTTTTTGGCGTGATTTAAACTAAAAAATACGAAAAATAATTGTCAAAATAGTTTCAAACCCCCCAGTGCAAAATGGGCGAGTCTAAGCTTTTGTTTGGTGGGTGTTTCAACGATACTGATATTTTTATAATAAGGTTTTCTTTAATAAACACCGTTTATATATACATTTTTTTTTAATGTCATTAGGAAGCGTAGGGAAGCCGTTAAAATCACGATGTACTTTAAAACAAACTACTCTTTAATTACTGTAATAAGAAGTACTAATACAAAAAGCTATATTTTTCCTTCAATTATCGTTTCAGTCTGCATCAACGGAGGAGCACGCGTGCCTTGATGGAACTCTAATCTTTTTCAGATCGAAGGCCAACAATAATCTGCAATAGGCAGCGAAGATCACGATGCACCACGATTGATAGTTAGTTTCTGATTAGTTCCCATAATCAACAGTAGTAATATATACACCCGGGAAGACGTAACGTCGATATTCGCCACCGTACGACTCTGAGGAGAAGAATCATGCAAACCTAACTGACGGCAATTAAAGGATTGTGGAAAGTGATTTAAATTGGTGCCTCCGGCCGAAGTAGTGATACATAGTTCCGCGCTGATGCATTACAGGGAGTGTATCGTGATGTGCTAGGAATTTCCGCCGTGTTTCACCTGTTGTGCTGGGTAAATTTGCCAATAAAAAGTACCGTGCAGTTAAGCACGCTCCGGGGGTATACTTGAAAGTGTAGATTCGAGCATTATCGAAGAATCACCACTACCATAGCAAAAATGATGGATATCACGTTCGAAAACATTCAGTACACCGTGTCGGTGGGAAAGAAAGGTAAGTTGTGCAAAACTTTATCTCAAACAGATCGATATTGGTGATTGGTGATTTGAATTTTAGTGAATTTAAAGCAATAATTGCGACATGAAGCAACATATGGTCTTAGTTTTCCGATAGAATGCTAGTATGATGCAATGCTTCCCAAACAGATAAATCTATCAGTTGAAATGTTCCTTGAAAAGCGAAGATTTAACGGCGTTGTAGTCAATATTTCCTCGTTTTACGGTGAAGACATTTGAGTTACGTTAATTAGGGCTGGTAAGTGAATTGTACAGAATTCAAATTCGAACCAACCATTTGAAACTAAACACCTTAGTTTCAAATACCCGTTTGAAGCGTATATTTTCAGTGTCGAGTGTCGCAATGTGGTAAGTTCTTTTTTTGCCAGCAGATTAATTACCTACGTTAGAAGTTTGAGGTCACCATAGTGCAGTTAAAATGGCCAGTGCTATTAAAATCTTGCTGTTTTAATTTGCGGTTTTATTTTTAATTGTCCCTCGCTTCCCATTCTTTTAGACACCATCTCATGAACGCATGCCCGTTTTTGTGAACATTATTTGGCAGATCTTGTCTCAATCGTCAACACTGGCTTAACTCGTTTCCCATACGTTAAAATTACATTGTTTGGGTTTTTTGAGCAGCACAATGACCGCTTTCATCGTTTCTGCAGCATGTCAAGAATACTACTATATTCCTGTCTATATACTATAAATATATTATTACCTCAAAACAGAAATAGGATGCTATTGCGCTTTTTGCACAATTCTAGATGTGTGTGCTTTAAATATTTGCATAAACTGTGCACTATTTTAGCAATGAAAATATCCTTCTTTTACCGGCAAGCCTTTCCTAAAGAATTCAACACATTGCTGTTTAATGGTTAGTTTCTTAACCATCCTTAATCTACAGAATTATCTTATTTTTTTGTAAAAAGGGGGTTCAGGGGCACACATCATATAAATCTCCAATTTTATACAAATCTCGCTACTCTGCAGCGAACTCTCTTTACCTATTGCCTATTACGTCTTAGCTGGAACTTCAAGTCTACTTTCAACGTAAGGGAAATAGGTGTGATACTTATTAATTAAAATAACCATCAAACTTTATTAAAGCAGTAATGTGTATGAACATTTCACCCAGCAAGCCCACCTAGCAGTTGTGGATGATAAATCATTAAATTTTGATTGAAAAGTTTATGAAAAATTGTTGTTCATTGTGGTGGCAAGATTAGAAGTCCCCACTTTCGGTGAAATGAGTAAACGATATTTCCTCCCACGAGAAATGAGCAATTGGGTAGAAGGGTTTATAGCGTACAATTGAAGGAAGAATAAATGATATCAACTTTGTGTCTCGAAGCTTAAACAACGCGTGTGTTATTTTCTGGATCGTAAAGAAACGTCTTTTACTTGAAAAGTTTAATTTAACAGATATACCTAATAGTGGTGACAAGGATAAAGAATCATAATTTTGTGCACCTATTTTCACGACCGTGTGTGGTTTTGGCATTTTGGCGTGATTTTCTCGGCGTTAGTGGTGTTTAGAAGTGGTGAAAATTTAGTAGCGCAAAGTGAATCGCCTGTGCGGCGATTTTCCATGTAGTTGGCGTTAGCGTACTGTCGAACCGAATTTTCAATTTTTTCCCGCCATAATCAAGCTAATTGATTTTCATTTTACTTGGAAAAGGCAGTTTTTGTTCTTGTTCTAAGAATTGTTTATAGAAGCCATAGAGAAAGCGTACCTTTTTCATTAGGACGCCATTTTTATTTTTGTTTTATTCGCAAATTCTTAGGGAACATGCATAAATGACGTAGCATTTGAGGGGGGAGGTGGGGGTTTCAGAACTTGTGACCGGCCATGTATTGGATATAGCCAAATACGCTACGAGGGGGGAGGAGGGGTCTAAAATTGATCAAAAATATGCTACGTCATTTATGGATGCTCCCTTATGCTCTTTTTGTTGCTATCGTTCTTTTATTTTCAGCACCTCGCACCCGCAAGACCACCAACACAAGTTCACCCCTCGATTCTTCCTGACACGGACATTTTAGTCAACTGTGGTGTCAATTTCGTCGGTTTGTGTACGAAGTGGAAAGTGGTCTACGGTTGCAATTGTGCATTATTTGGTTTGTTAACCAGTTTATGCATTTTGCTGACCTACGAATTTTGCGGATAGTAAAAAAAAATACAAAAAAAAGGAGGCACGTGATCGAGGTCATCGACCTTTTGTACATGCCATCGACCTTACGAGACCTGCGGCTAGTGAAAAGTGTCATCGACCTTCGGTGCAGGTCAGCGACCTTTTTTTTGCACAAAGGTGGACAATTTTGCGGTGTTTGTGAGCGAGAGCGAACCTGCGGTGGAGCTGTTGAAGTGGTTCCTGTGTTGCATGCTGCTGTTGTTGTTGTTGGCTATGGAACTATTGTCTTGGCAGTTGGAATTTGTTGCTGATACGTTTTTGGAGTGAGCTTTTGTTCGTCGCTACGTTTTAACAGAATGTCGATGTCAACAATCACTGAACCGTTCATCCCGGTAATTACCCAACAAACAATCCTCTTTTGAAGAAACGACTTCTTGGCCATGTTATTCGACTGCATGCTTAATAGTACTTGTACTATTTTTAATAATAACTTCTGTTCAGGCTTTGTTCACACAAATCTGGAGAATTTATTCAACCACAACATTGAACTACTGGTGTTGTATAAGGTATGTCGAGTAGCTTTTATTGGACTTTTATGAGTTGTAACAGAGTTTATACGATCAAATTTTTGATTATTCAGCGTTTATTAGACATCACTGCTTCCTTAAAACAGTGATGCTCTGTATACGCTTGATTCTCATGTGAATTATTTAATTAGACATTATTATACATTTATTAAACGATTATTCAACTGTTGAAAAATTAACCCAAAAATAAGAGGGACGGGGACAGGGAACCCGAGCAAAGTTCAGCATCAAAATGACAGCAAATTGAAATCAAGTTTTGATATCAACATCAAACTGAAATCATAATTTGATTTCAGTTTACACAATTGACAAATTTGATACCTAATTTTGTTTTCATTTTGCTGTAAATGTGTTCTTCAAAAATATGTTGTTGCGGGTTTGTTTTCATTGCCTTAGCATAACATCAAATTGAATACTTGTTTTGTTATCAACAGGAAAAATGGATATCAAATTTAGTTTTCAGTTTGCTTTCACTGATAGCAGAAATAGTTTTCAATGTGATGTCACAGGAAGATTTGTTTGCTCTCAATTTTGATATTTTAACCGTTAAAACGACCAAACCGACAGCAACCTGAGTAATCATTATCAGCGAAATCACAACATTTTTGATTTCAATTTGATCTCAGACTTTGCTCGGGAAGGGTGTGTTTCTTAAGTGTATTGTATTTAAAATTAACCCGAAAATAAGAGGGACGAGGACAGGGAAGGGTGTGTTTCTTAAGTGTACTGTATTTATTTCTGACGTGGCTCGCACCACACAGATATTAAAAAATATCAAATAATTATACATGTCGTTGTATGGGATTCGAACCATGTACCTTCCCGATCACCAGCCGCTTCCCTTGTCCACTGAGCTATCCTAGAATTCATCATATGGGCAACTCAATAATCTATAAAAGCTTGCTTAAAAGTAAATACCTATCAGCACTCCCGATCGCAACTCTAGCTCCTTCAATGCCCTGTGGGAATGATTAATTCATTCATCGTTGTTTTAAATGAGACCAATGTTGCCTCTTCACATCTCCAAGCCGAAAGAAAGGATGCTCGGTTATATTTTAAACTAGATCAATGCATTCATTATCGTGAGTCATGTGATCGATGATTACTATTTAAATTAATAATGTTCTAGACAAATAAAAAAGGGTTGAGCTTGGGATTGAACTCACGACCTTCAAATTGGAAAGCGGAAACGGTAACCACTACTCTACTGATTTCGCCTAGTTGTAAGACTGAATCAGTGTTGTCGAATAATGAATCTAATACGTCGTTTATAAAGCATTTACAAATCATGTGATTACAACATGGACGCATAGTGATATAAGAGCTATTATGCTGACTGTATTCACCTTTATTCATCAATATTGTAAAGTAATGCAATGAAATCTAATAATGGAGCTGGAGAACACTTATTAGACGTCTAATAAAGCATGTTATTAAATCAATTGAAAACAGTCGAATTAAAGTGTCAATGTATGTACAAATTACACTTATTCAGTTTGTTATTAGATCAAACTTCTGGTTCTGAATAAGGAAGACAGTCAACGTTTATAAAGCTTTTAATAAGGATATTAATTATGTCAGAGCAAACAGCGGAATTAAGGTGCATCTATCGATCTCAATGAGCTTTTTTCAGCACATAATTCGACATCCTGTTTTATTCAGCTTTGTACACTGTTATACAGCATTTATTCAATGTGTATGCTTATATGTGACTTTGAATTGTTTGTTGGGTATACCCTTTTCCCAGTACCTTGAGCAACTGGAATGGGAATTTTTGCATAATAATTACACCGAAGCACGGTATTAAATATCTTTTCTTGCTGTTTGTGGGACGGAAGTCTACACTCAGCTCAAGCTTTTGTTTTCGGGCGATAGTTTCAAAGATTTGTCGTACAAACAAATTATGGACGCTCTCAAGAAGAGGTTTGATAAAAAAGATTCCGACGTTATTCATACATATGAGAGTGTATAGTATTAGTACAGTCAGTATTAGTACAAGACACTGAAGAAGTCTGCACATTGTAGACGAAATACGCGTATCTGTCAAGGATAAGCAAATAAAGTAGTGGAATTAAATGGAAAATACTAATCCTTCTCTCTCTCATTATACATTTGTAACGGTTGATTTGGCAACTTTTAGCGATTTTGCCAACTTTGCGTGCGAGTAGCTCGGATTTTCGCGATGCGCGAGCAAAATTTTGATACGCTGCTCTTCTTGCTTGGACGGCATTTTGACAACTGAAGAGTGAATTCCAAAATCAAAATAGGAGCAA